GATATTATATTCATTGATAAAGTATACTGGAGTATGCGGATTGTGACTTTGAGCAAATACGCCCTCATGCAGCAGCTTGTATAGGGCCATTCGATACTCTCTTTAATTATATACTCTTGATGTAATACATGTACACAAACACTTTCTTTTCTTCCCTCTCTCCCTCCCTCCCTCCCTCCCTCCCTCCCCCTCTCTCTCTCTTACGTGAATGCTCTTTTAATGGTTCCAGTATCAATGGGTCCAATGCTACCTCCAGTCTTTGGCATTGCCGAGTGTAATATATCTGATGAGGTCTTCCATACAAACATATCCTGTAAACAACAACAAACAAAAATAATTAAAAATAGAAAATATTGATAGTCAATGCCTTATGATGCATACATATGTACATGTATAAATAAAATTTGATTAATTGAGCAGTTTTTGAGTTATGAGCATTTTAGGAATAGATTACTGTATAGCTTAAAATTTGGGGGGGTAAAATTTTGGCAGACTACTAAAGTTTTTATGATTGGCGAATTTTAATTTGGCAAATTTGTGTCCATGTGCCATTGAGCATGTACAATGTACATACATGTAATGGCTCAAAATGGCTGGTTTTAATTTTGGCAGTTAAAATGCTAAATTTTCCAAAAACCCCCTGTACTATAGCCTGTGCTTTAATCTTAATAATGACCCTACACTCACTGGAGATGGGGCACAGTTACTGGTACACATCATTTGAGATATTTTATTAATTAGTTCTGTTTTAATTGATGAGTCTCCGTTAATTTTAAAAGTTAATAATCTCTCCTGAGGATCATCAGACTAATGGACTAACAGACCAAAACCATTAACAACATCTAATAAAATAAATAAACAAATAAATAAATAAATAAATAAATGTACCTTCGCTGTCAGAGAAATCAATGACTGATCTAATATTAGAATATGTGAGGAATTCCAAGTGTCTAAATATAGTAACAAGAACAACAGTAATACATATACATGTACGTACATTACATGTATATGTATATGTACATGCATGTATACTAAAAGTACATGTACATGTACCTGTATGGTTTGCATGAGTCCTTCATAGCAACAAAACCATGACCACTTCTTATCTTAGCAATCTGTAGGAGAGAGGGAGGGAGGCAAATTAATAAGCTCATGCTATAGTACAGGATATTTTTAAGAATTTCGGCATTTTCTTAAAATGGACGTAACTTGAATTGAAGTCGTAATCTCAACTCACAACTTGCTACACAGCACAAGAGCATGTATCAGAAAATGCAATAAAAATTGGGTGTGATTTCAGAGCCATTTTTTGGAAAACCATGGACTTGTGTATTTTTTAGAAATTAGTTGATTTTTAGAAATGGCCACAACTTAAAAAATTAAAGTTGGAATAAGCTCAAACTTTCTGCATAGCATAAGAAAATCAATATGTACATGTATCAGAAAACGTAATAAAATTGGGAGTGATTTCAGAGCCATTGTTTGGAAAAAACCATGGGCTTAAGCTTTGGGTATATTTCAGTAATTAGCCCATTTTTGAAAATGGCCATAACTTGACAAATTGAAGACATGTAATGAAGATCATGTTACATTACAATGAATCACCACATGCATACTGAGCATGCACATTAGGTACACAATATAATACACACATCACACAATGTAAACAATGATGCCCAGTCACTTCATTACAGTCGGAATCAGCTCAAACTCATAAGTACATTAATATGTATCAAAAGATGTGATAAAAATTTTGGTGATCTTGGAGCCATTTCTTGGAAGTATACCCCGTGCAATTATTACAGCCCAAAATTTTTTTACAAAATTGAAACTGGCTCCAAAGCACACCCAATTATTACATTCACTAATCGCACATATCCTTAGTTATAATTTGAACTGAATAATACCTCTTTTCTTTTACTCCTACTGTCCTACACCAATGAGTGCCTGTACAAGATTATTAGAGGAGACTACTGTAAGTGCCTCTGAGATGTTAAGTGCCCATCCCAATACACGTGGGTAAATTATGCTCCACCCTCCAGTCATTCCCATGCATCGGATACATCAGTCAGGTCAGCTGCAAAACCTTACCTTTGAGACTTGAGCTCGGCCTTGAGAGGACTCCCCACTGGGCACTGGAACATCAGAGACAGCTAAAAAATAAAGTCAATATGCAGTCAAATGCAGGTGAGGGTATTATTGCACATCAGTAGAACTTTAACTTTTGTGAACTTATGGTAGTCATAGGCGTGGCCTAACTTGACTTATATTGTGTGTCATTGGAACACCCTTACTCTCCTAATTCCTAAGACCCTCTCCTACATTAGGGCCGGGGCATTGCATATCATACAGCTGTGCAGTTTAAGTTTTATAGGTACATGTATGTCTCATTTACAACTGACTTGAAATTTTAACCTCATAAGATCTTAATGCCGGACCAGACCTTATTAATTCAAATGAGTTCACAAATAAAATTTCTAAATTAAAGAGTTTTACTTCACATGGTCTTGTGCCCCATATACCCCATACAGTACAATGATAGCATGACAATAGATTTCAGCACCAATGTTAATAATGCAATACTTGTTCTATTTGTAGTGCTAATTAATGAAGAGATGCTGCTGTTAATACTTTAAGATGCAAAGTACAATGACTCAAAAGTTCATATGTGTCTACATACGTAGTAAGAAGTGTCGACTGTTGAGTAATATTAATTGCATGGTATGTAATATCTTTTATGTTCATTTATAGGAAATGGATATAGAGAGCTAAAGAATCAAACTGTCTTTTGAGGTTTATCCAATCCATTATTATAGAAAGCAGTGACACTATACATGGTAGGTGCTTGTTATCATGTTTCAGTTTCACTTACATTAACACTATAACATGTTCAGGTTGCCAGGAATCACTCAGACCATATAGCCATAACTCAGATGTGTCATTAGTGGAGAAATGGTTTATTTGCGAACTTAGTACAGACTATTATGGTCTTGGGAGTCAAGGGAAGAGCCTGCTAAATGAGACTGAACTATCTAACAAGGTTCAGTACTTTCCTCTTCGTTCTTTTTCTTATCCTTTTGTTTATTTTCTTTCTATTGACTTTCCTTAATAATTTTGTCCTTATTTTATGTCAACATAATTGTATTTTGCTACCTATTACTGATAATTTGATATTAGTTGATGACATAGATTGGTTGCTTATCCTATACATGTGTATATTCATCATTGTAGTATTGTATTGTTTTGATAATGAATTTAATTGTAGGTACTGGATATCAGTATTCTTGGAACACCCACAATATTGCATCATGTAAACACAGTACATAAAGCAATCTAAATTGTAGTAGCTGCATGGCAATAACTGGTTATTTTTTGGACAAATTTTCTGTATTTATGCATCATTTGTCATTTTTCGCTCTTTTCTGTCGCATATGCTTCTTGGCTTTTAACAATGGTAGTTATATATACATGCATGTGTATCTAGGCATAGCATGGATAAAGCCAGCAGCTGACCTCTTCTGCAACTGTATTACTTTGACAATAGCTTGCTAGCATAATCATTAGTATGCTATTTGCTTTTAACCTGCTTGAAACCTTATTGCTGACTTGATCTTTGAAACCATGCAGTGTGAAAACTATAGACATAGCTTGCATGGCAAGTTTGGCAACAACTGCACACTATATCTCATAATTTTTATTATGTGCAAAATACTAAAATAATTATGAGGTAAAATCTTTAACAAATTAATTAGTAACAATAATGTTGGAAGTAAGCTGTGCTTAATCACTTTATGGTCTATCAATGTTTTGCTTGTAGTCATTAATATTGTTTACTGCTGTATGGGCAATAAGAACAATATCAAATTATTTCAATGGTATACATGACCAAAACAGTTTCCTGAAAAACAACCCACCCAAAGCATCCCTC